CAGCAGGAAGAAAATGCTGGAACAATCCTACACCTGCATGCTGCAGTCAGGATCAGAGAAAATACTAAATAAGCGTGAAGGAGGAAGCCTGGAAAAGTACTACCAGTCCTTCCAGATTTGGAGGAAACTGGAGATAAGAAAATAATGGGAAGGTGGCAAATCCACAATAAACATTCAACTTTGTGGAACAGGAAGATTCAGATTAGAGACAAGTTGTTCCCTGTGAGGGTGGTGAGGCCATAGCACAGGGTGCCCAGAGAAGCTGTGGCTGCCCCATCCCTGGCAGTGTTCAGGGCCAGGTTGGACAGGGCTTGGAGCAACCTGGTCTAGTGGAAGGTGTCCCTGCCCATGGCAGGGGCTTGGAACTGGATGAGCTTTAAGGTCCCTTCCAACCCAAACCACTCTGTGATTCTGTAACGGGTTCTTTGCTCCAATTCGGTTTTGCAGCACCACTCACTGCTTTCTTAAATCATTTATCAGAGAGGTGATGGGAAAGGTGCAGTCAGCACTTAGGCCCCATTTTGAACCATTCTCTGAAGTAGCCTCAGGAAGATGTGAGTCCTCGGCAGCCCCTGGGGGCAGGGAGGGAGGGATGGAGGGCATGCAGCTGGAAGCTCTATATTCGCTCTCCCTGCACTCTGCTAAATCGAGCATCCTTCCAACCCAGCCACTAATGTTATGTTAAAGGCCACAGCTCTCCAACACTGTGCTTGCAAAAAGGCCCAGCAATCTGAGAAGTCCTAAATGCATTTTAACACTCTGTGATCAGCAGCATTGCACAAGGTCTATCAGAAATGAAAGCAATTCCTAAGTTCGCAGCGATTCTTCTTTTAAGGTACCTTCCAACCCAAACCATTCTATGATTTTGTGAAGGGTGGAAAGTTTCTTCCTTCCATCTGGGAGCACCCAGCACAACCAAGAGCAGAGCTGCCCAGCAACCAAGAGCAAGAAAAGATGAGAAGGAACACTAGGCTGAACAAACACATGGCTCCTGCCTGGAATGCTCTGCAGAGCAGTCTATAGGCTTGACCAAGGCAAGAGAATACCTGAGGTGAGTGGGAACTCCATTAAATGAGTTATTAGCACCAGAAACACAAAGCTCACTAAAAACCATGACACAGCATTAAAATCATATTCAGAGAAGCCCTTTAGCTAGTCACATTACTGTAACGATGCTCCAGTCTTTGCCCAACAGCCTGCAAAAAACATGTAGGCAACACGTAGGCACTGATCTCTGGAAGTGTTGAAGGCCAGGCTGGATGGGGCTTGGAGCCCATCTAGTCTAGTGGAAGGTGTCCCTGCCCATGGCAGGTGGTTGGAACTGAATGATCTTTAAGGTCCCTTCCAACCCAAACCATTCTGTGATTCTATGATTCTATGACCCCTGGTCAAATCTGTTTGCCCTTATGTGTCATTGTTGGATTTGATCACTCCTGATCGAAGGAAGAGTTACCAAACAAAATCCTCTGGCTGTGTGAGCTGGAGTTCAGGTACAACACTAAACACAGCTCATCCCCCTCCAAGTACAGCAAACCCTGGACATTCACAATAAACTGATCCTACAGATTACCATCATGAGCTAGACTGCATACATGGAAGGCTTAATGGTCTCTGATCACAGTGAAAGGGATTCAGTTCCCTAAATTCCTGTTATATAAAGCTGAGAGCAGCATCAAAGCAAGAAGGGGGTCTTCCAGCCTGGCAGGTGACTGCCTAAGAGCATGAGCAAAGGCTCTGGGAAAGAAATCCCTGAAACCCCTCCACAGGTCTGTCTGTCCATATATTAGGATTAACCTCCCATAAATTATCCCATGAATGCTTACTTCAGGGGATACCTTCAAGGCTCTGTGTTTTGTCTATGCACAGAACTCAGGAATGCTTTACAGGTGAGCTGCTGATACACTGCA